TTCTCATTGTACTCCTCTAGAGGACTATTGGTATTTGGTTTTTCATGTTGTTTTTTCTTTGTGATTTTGACGTGTGAATTTCTTTTGTAGTTTCTGATTCTTGTGTGAGACTCAAGCCTTCAAGTTTAGGTCTGCTTCTTTTTGTGAGCTTTATGTGTCTTTGTGGTTTAATTTTTGGGCATGAAAGGCTGGTTCCTCTAAGCTTCCAGTTCTCTCATTTGATCTTATATTGGAGTGGCCAGATTGCTTTTGTCTTCAGGAGTTCCCACAGAGGACCAAGTCAGATGAGGATCAGATGCTCTCAGGCTTTCTCCTAAGGTCTGGATCCCTCCAGGATAGACTTTGGCTTCAGGATTTTGGGGGTTGGACTGGCCTGGGAGCAGGGCCCAGGAAAGATGCTGGTCTAGGGCAGCTGGTGGCTGTGCCACCCAGAGATGCAAAGGAAGATGGGGGCGGGAGGCAGCTCCAAGGGCCCCTAGGGACTGCACTGAGGAGTTGGATTGGTCTGGATGCAAAGGACCAGGAAGAGGAAAGGTCAGCCCTGGCGTCCAGGAAAGAGGCTGGCCAGTTGTGCTGATCCAGGGAGGCAGAGGGAGGTGAGGGTGGGGCCAGGCCCAGAGTGCCCCTGGAGACCCGAGAAGGAACTGAGTTGCTCTGGATGCACAGGATCTGGAAGAAGCAGTGGTGGTTCCCCAGCTGTCTGGGGCGCCAAGACAAGGAATGGGACAGGGCCCAGGCTAGGAGAGACAGGCTGGGGAGATGGGAGGGTAAGTGAGACTGGGGGAATCAAGGCAAGGAGAGCAAGATCTACTTACCCCAGAGAGAGAGGCCTTCGGGTTGGAGAGAGGCCTGAAGGTCTGGCAGGCCCAGGGAAGCAGAGGGAGGTGCAGGCAGGGCCAGGCCCAGAGTGCTCCTGGGGACCCAGGAGAGAGAAGCCTGAGGGTGGGAGAGAGCAATAAATAAAATATTTTTTAAAAGAAGCTGTAGGTCTAAATTCTGCCACCTAGACACCAGCCAAGTGAATCAGATGTTTGTGTTTTGAGTTCCAGTTTTAAAAAGACTTTCCCCTGGGGAGAAGCCCAGCTTCTCCTTGTAGAGCAAAGGGAATAATGGAACCACTCCCAGAGTCCTCCTGAGAAGCAAAGAAGTAGAGAAGCCAGCTTGGGGCTAAACTGGTGTGCTGGACACAGAATTCTAGAATGAGGCTATCTATTCCTCTTCTTTATCATCCGGCATGGTTCTCATTAGTATCAGTCTGCAAGGAGGACCCTTCCTGGGGTTGAGTCCTCCAATCCCAGAAGAGACTTTTTATTAAGTAGAATTTACACTGAACAATTATTACATGAGATGCCCATATAAGTTTGCCACAGGTACATCTGAATTGTTTAGACCCCAGATTTTGGGAAGGAGGGTTGCTTAGACCCCAGATTTTGGGAAGAAGTGTTGCTAGGGATTGAATTTAGTGCCTTGTGCATGCTAAGTCTTCCACCAAGCTATACTTGCAGCCTTGAAAATAACTTTTTGAGCCACGCATAGTGGCACACACCTTTAATCCCAGCACTCAGGAGCAGAGGCAGGCGGATCTCTGTGAATTCAAGGCCAGCCTGGTCTACATAGCAAGTTCCAGGCCAGCTGGGGCTACAGGGAGACCCAAATTCAAAGTACCCAGAGTAGATCTGCATTAAGGCTTGCTGCATGGCCGCTGTTGTGTTCACACAATCATTTGCTGTTATCAACTCTGCGATGGTAGGGTACTTACAGAAGCTTGCTGCCTGCTTCCTGGTTGGCCTCATGGTAACTGTATGGAAGCAGACTGGCAAAGACCACTGACCAGACAATTCTATGGGGGGTGGAGGGGGCAGTAGTTTATTTGAGAGCAAACAGACCACTGGGCGGCCTCTCAGGGAGCAAGGAAATAGCAGTGAGCAGGGGGAGTCAGACATCTTTTATAGGTAGTTAGGTGGTTAGGTAACTTTCCATGATGTAGGTGGGCAGTTTAGCTCCAGATTGGTTGGTTTCCCAACAAGCAGAAGGACCTGGCTGGGCTAAGTTCAAACCCACCATTTTAGGGTGTTGGGAGCTGCCCTGCCATTTTAGGAGCCTGCCAGGAACCTAACAGTGACTAGCAATCTTCTTCCATGTGTCTCATTTGCCAGGAGGTTCTGCCCAAGTCCCTGGGGTCAAGCAACTATAGGCAAAACCCTCTGACCCTGCAGTGCTGCTTGCCATCAGTGACTCACTAAGCAGAGGCAAGCAAACTAGGTCATAAGTGGGCTATGCTTTGACAAATGTCCACAAACCTGGATCTGTACATTCCAACACAGCACCTAACCCTTTGTGTGGATTAAACTCAGTAACAGGTGAAGTTGTCATTCTTATCCTGGACTCATCAATAAGCCCAGGCCAGAAGCCAAATGAAACGCAGATAGTTCTGAGCAGGGAGAAGATAATTGTGCACTGGGGGATGGTGTGAGACATTCGGAAGACACCTACCCACTACACGAGTGGAGCTGAGTCCTTTGTCTCCTGCCTAGACACTGAACTCGCCTCAGAATGAAACACACTTCTGCTTCTATCTTAGTCATAGAAGTTCATCTTTATCCTAAGTAATCCAGATGGGTTATTTGTTATTGGGAATTTGATTTCAGTTTTTTTTGAGACAGTTTCAAGTAGCCCAGTCTGGCCTCAAACTCACTATATAACTCCATCTCCCAAGCACTAGGATTATAGGCACAGGCCATCATGCTTGGCTTTGGTTTTCTTTTTAAATTTATTTTTATTTTATGTGTATGAATGTTTTGCCTGCATGTATGTAAGTGCACCCATGTGTGTAATGCCCATGGAGGTCAGAAGAGGGCATTGGATCCCCTGAAACTGGAGTTATGAATGGTTGCTAGCCACTGTGTGGATTCTGGGAACTGAACCCGGGTCCTCTGCAAAGGTAATCAGTGCTCTTAACCATCTCTGGCTTTGGTTTTCTTGATATAACAATTTTTGGTATGCTTTCAACTTACTAAAAGAATACAGACTATTTGATTGTCATGATAAAAAATGCTTTACATAGTATTTTTCTTTTTAATCAGAACCTTTCTTCATGTTCTTTTCCTAACAATCCTGTGGTGGCAGTTACAATGATCATCAGCCAGGTTTGGTGGTACATGCCTGTAATCCCAGTACTTGAGAGACAAAGGCAAGAGATTAAGAGTTCAGGGTTGTCCTTGGGTACACACTGAGTTCAAGGCCAGCCTGGGTTACATAAGGACCTGTCTCAAAAAAAAAACCAAGAATATGAATCATGACCTCTGTTTTGTAAATAAGGAGACATATATATCAGCAATCAGGACATCAACATTTCCATATCAGAAACCTATGACAGTTCAAAGAAAATGTGAATGGATGACTTTGTTAAAGTCAATCTGAAGTAATTAATTGAATTAAAGCCCTTTTTAAAAATTATTTTATTTATGCCAGGCATGGTGGCACACACCTTTAGTCCCAGCTCTTGGCAGGCAGAGGCAGGTGGATTTTTCTGAGTTCTATCCCAGCCTGGTCTACACAGTGAGTTCCAAGCCAGCTGGGGCTACAGGGAGACCCTGTCTCAAAAAGACGGAAAAAAAAATATTATTTTTTTATTTTATATGTATGAGTGTTTTGCCTGCATGTATCTAAATGGACTCATGTCGTGTAATGCCCATGGAGGTCAGAAGAGAGTTTTGGATTCCCCTGGAACTGGAGTTACAGACAGTTGTTAGCCACCACGTGGGTACTGGTATCAAGCCCAGGTCCTCTGCAAGAGCAGCCAGTGCTCTTAACTGCTGAGCCATCTCTCCAGTCCCTAGAACCCATTTCTTTTAATATGTTATCTCATACTTTTGGAGAACTTAAAAAATATAGAACTTTACTACATTTTCTGACAACTAATATAACTCATGAATAAAATAGTCCATTTTCATAATTAAGGGACTTTCTAGACAGGCATTGTGACACAGGCCTTTAATCCCAGCACTCAAGAGGCAGAGGTAGGCAAACCTCTGTAAGTTTGAGGCCAGCCTGGTCTACATAGTGAGTTCCAGGTCAGCTGGGACTACAGGGAGACCCTGTCTCAAAAAAATACCGAGAGAGAGAGAGAGAGAGAGAGAGAGAGAGAGAGAGAGATATTTTCTGTTGGGTGTACCCCCAAAGGTAACAAAATCAGTGCCTTGTAGCAGTATCCCCATGTTATTCAGCATTGTTGAACAGAATGCTATTGCCAGCTAACTAGGTAAAGAAATGGTCAAATACCTAGACAACAGAACATGAACAGTCAGGAGACATCATCATTTATGAGAACATGGGTGAATCTGGAGAATGCTCTACTGGGTCAGCCTGACTCTAATCAAAAATATGCTATATGGCATCCATTTTATGGGGAATCTTTCTGAAAAGATTGAATAAATAGATCCTGAGTAGAACCCTGGCTACCAGGAGTAGGGAGGGAGAAGAAATGGGAGACACAGGTCAAGAGCAACTTTGCAGCTAAAAGAATAGAGGTCTTGGGGGCTGGAGAGATGGATCAGCAGTTAAGAATACTGACTGTTGTTGCAGAAGACCCAGGTTTGAATCCTAGCACCCACATGGCAGCTAACAACTGTCTGTAAACTCCAGTTCCGGGGAATCTGACAGTCTCTTCTGCCCTCCACTGGCATTACATAACACGGGTACACTTACATGCAGGCATAACACTCATACACATAAAATAAAAAAGAACAATAAAAAAAAGAATAGAGGTTTCATGTACAGTATCTGGTTAACAATATTGTACTGTATCCTGAATATTTGCTGAAGTAGTAGATATTTTGGTACCCTCCCCAACAAAAATGGTAAATGTGGATGAGAGATATGTACATTTTTTTACTACAGCAACTATTTCACTATATATATGTAGACCAAAACATAGTGCTGTGTACCTTTACTATGTACAATTAAAAAGAAGAAGGAGGAGGAGGAGGAGGAGGAGGAGGAAGAGGAAGAGGAGGAGGAGGAGAAGGAGAAGGAGAAGAAGAAGGAGGAGGAAGAAGAAGAAAACTGCCAGGCTAGGTAGATGGCTCAATGGATAAAGCGTTTGCCTCACAGGTGCACGGCCATGAGTCAGGATCCCCAGGACCCTCATAAAATTCTAACAGCTGGAAGTCATGATGATTTGCCTACAATCCCAGCTCTAGGAAGTTGGAGATAGAGGTTAGACTAGCTATTCAACAAGCTCCAGGTTCAGAGAGAAACCCTGACTCAGTAAATCTAGTGGAAAACAATAAAGGAATATACCCAACATCAACCTTTGTATGTGCACATGCACGCGCACACACACACACTAACATGAATACACACATATTACACACATCAATTTTTTAATTAACATTTACATATAATTTGTGCTTGTGGGGTGTATGTGCATGTGCGTGTGCATGTTGCTTCACAGGCAGAGATAGTTCTCTTTCCCTCCCTGGGAGTTTCAGGGATCAAACTCAGGTTGTCAGGCTTGGTGGCAAGCACCTTTACCCACTGAGCCATCTCTCTAGCTCACCCCCTACCTCCCAAATTTTTTAGAATGCTGCCTCTTTCTACTTGGATTTCCCAGAGTCCTAGTTCATTCTTTCGGTGGCTTCAGCATGACCCTGTGCATTTTAGGGCTCTGGCTAAAGAATGAGTTGTAGGTATCTTTAAGTTGGGTTAACAGCAATACTATTCCCTGGCAGTAGTAAGCCACTGCCCACTGCTCTGGAGTAGGAAAGGCTTCCAGGACCACTCCTACCAGTTTAAGCCTGAGGTCTCACATCACACTCAAGCCTCAGAGGAATTGCCAGCCAGTGGAAAAGAAATCAGATGTGAAAGAGATGCAG